TATTAACTGACTTCACCGTTTTAATACTTTGTATGAAATTTTGATACGGAATCATAGGTAATTCTTAGGATGGTACATTACCAACAACCATTAGTCATAACCAAAATACAGAGGAGGTTCAGAGTCATACCAATGCACACCAAAATCTTTCAATGTTTCCACTGATTCCCAACATACGATTAACATAACTACTTGTGAAGAACAGAACGTTAAACAAAAGAATTATTAATGGTAATCAAATGTGCGATTCTTGCACTATTACTCACAGTGCTATAACGGAGTGCTTGTCCCTCCTCAAGTGTGCCCTGTTCACATATATAACTTAGTCATTAGTTTTTTTTTCTTTCCTTCATTATTCTTCACAAGCCCACCATTAAGCATCCATTTATACCACAATTTCCTCCATCTCAAAATATATATATATATATATAAATAGAAGAGGTAAAGGTTAAATAAAGTGAATCTTACAGCATCCTTAAATGCTTGGAATGCTGCTTCTGGTAGGTAAGCGTAAGTAGTGCCACTATCCAGGATGGTTCCATATTTTCCATCAAAAACACTTGGGTTTAAAGACAACTTCTTCCCAGCAACATGCATCTCCTTCAGCTCAATATTGTAATATGGACTGTTGCCATCCCGAAACTAGAGTAAATGTGTGAGATGTATCAAGTGTATATATGTTAGGAAAATAAACAATGTTTTGGATCTATAATATGAATATTACGAAACATACCTGCGTGCAGGATCAGAACGGGAGAATACCATGTTAGCAGGGGGGGAAATGCCACCAAGAATCATTGCACCACCACCAACATCCATCCCTCCATAACACAAGGAAAAGGAATCACTAATTACACCTCTGTCAACAAGTTGATCCACAACACTGAGATCACCATGGCCCAAACCCATTATGCCATCAGCATGTTGACTGTAAAGGTCGCCAGTTTCCACATTTTCACAACCAAAAACAGCACGCTGGGGTGCAAGTTCACTTTCATTGCCAAACGATATAATGTCCTCACCAAGGACACCACTGCTAGAACTCATTTCAGCATACTGTCGATCATAAACACACTGACCCCTATCACCATCACAGGTGCAATCAACGTTGCACTTTACAGGTTGGTAGGTGCTAGACAAATCTGGCTGGAACTTTGGATCCTGGTGAACAAATGATATGTCTCAAACCATAGAAAGGAAAAAAGAAGAAAAAAATTTAAAACTCCAAATATAAAAGACATACATATACATACTAATTGTGTGTGCACACATGGGGGGTGTTTGGCAAGGAAAAAAATAGCCTATTTTAGGCTAAAATTCACAAAAAGACAAAATAGGCTAAAATAGCTAATAAGACAATATATCACATCAAATCCATAATCATTTCACTTTTTCTCTCACAAACATCACATCCAACCACAAAAAAATTCAATCATCTTCCCAAACACAAAAATTTTAGCCTACTAAAATAGCCAAAAACTAAAATAGCCTACTAAATTAGCAACTTCCCAAACGAAGCCATAATATGGCGGTGTTGGGCAAGATTTGATTTTGGATTTTTTTTTAATTTTTTTCAAAAAAGACAGTTTTTGCAAAATAAAATAAAAAAAATCCAAACAAAATATCACATCCAATTCCATAATCATTTCACTTTCACTTTTTCTCTTACAAACATCATATCAAACCACAAAAAAACCCAACTATCTTTCCAAACACTAAAATTTTTTTATTCAATAATATCCTACAACTAAAAAAATCTACATAAAAATTCACTTCTCAAACACCCACTATGTCATGTAAAAACCTTTTTATTAAACCAAAAATAAATATTAAAATTCACCAACACTCAGAAAGTTTTCGACAAGTAAAAGCAGATTCGAAAGTGATATAACTTAATGGCTAAATTAAATTGATACTTCCTGTATTTTGCTCTTTAATTTACTTTGCTTCACATTTTATTTAGTTTGATTTTACTTTTTAACTTTAAATTTCGTATCAATTTGATTCAATTAATAACGTCAATTAATGTTTTTTAAATAAAATGCTCACAAATTCAGTTGAGTTTAACTCAAATAAAATCAAACTTATAATTTTGCGTATAAAATTACATACGTCGTTTATATGCACATTTTTTATTAAAAAATACTAAAAATCGTAATCAATTAGACCAAATAAAAACAAAATTATAATTTCAGAATTAAAATCGAGTCAATTAAAATTACAAAACTAAAATAATATAAGAACCAAACTATAGAGACTACTATTATAATTTTTGCTAAATTTATTCATGGAACTAAGCTTGGGCGCCGTATCGCCTCTGCCTCTTGCCACGGACTTAGACTTCGCAAGCCTACCGTGCGGCCTTAGATGTCTCCAACCCTCTTGGTTGCACCTAAGTCAGCCTTATCCACTCAACCACACTAACACACACAGTTTAGTTGGAAGAATGCCTTCACTATACAAGTTAACATTTACAAGTATAGTCGTGTACAAAGCTTACAAGGCTCTCACACTCACACTCACAAGTGCCTCACTCTTAGAGCTCTCTTGGATCTCCTGGCCTTCGATGCCTTACAAATGAGACCCCTCACCCTTTTATAGCCATCCTCCTCTCCATTGGACGGCCCAGATCATTTTGATCCAAGGGCTACAAGCACTCATCTAGAACATTCCATAGAACTATCTAGGACATCTACCCTATCTACTACATTCTAGAATTCTCTACACTAGTGTAGTACATGGTAGGCTTCTCCTAGCATAATCTAGGATGTTCCAGACCCATCCAGACTCTGCTGGACACTCCAAGGTTCTTCCACATTCCAGAATCTTCTAGGCCACTCCGGACCCTTCCACCAGCTTCTAGAGTCTTCCAGCATACTCTAGGTTGGTCTCCCACATTCCGGAACCTTCCAGCGCCTTCAGCATCTTGCCCACGCTGCTCCTTGTGTCACAGAATTCTCGGGGCGTGACACTCTGCCTCTGCTGAAAAGACCTCAAAGCCTCCACAAAATCTGATTCCTCAAAATCAGGCCACAGTTTGTCTACAAGTAACATTTCGGTATAAGCTAGCTGCCACAACATGAAGTTGCTAACTCTGATCTCTCCACTCGTTCTGATAAGTAAATCAGGATTTGGGTACTCTGCACAATTTGTTTCTAGCTCTTCTTCGATTAGGTTGTTGTTTATGTCTTCCACCTGAATAAGCCCTTCCTTCACTTTTCCGGCGACTTTTTTGCAAGCTTGGGTTATGTCCTGTTGTCCGCCATAGTTGAGTGCAGCGATGATATGGAACTGAGTGTTGGCCTTTGTGGATTCCTCTAGTTCACATGCCATGTTCTGTATTATCATGGGAAGCCTTGACTTGTCACCAATTATAGAAACTCGAACACCTGTCCTGTTATTACATTCAATGAGTAGTGTTATACGGATCCTATGGATCAAATTAAAATTACAGTAAAAGTGTAAGGGTTAAATTGTTTAATTTAAAATTATAAGGATTTAAATAAAATTTGAATCAAATTAAAAATGCAAAAAAGAATAATTGGACCTCGTTTGACAACATGTTATTTTAGTAATTTTTTTCATTTTTTAGCTAAAATATAAAATTAAAAAAAATTAATATGTTTGAGATGACTTTTTAACTTTTATGAAAAGATGTAAAAAAATAAAGAGAAAAGAAATTTTTTTTGACTTTTTTGTATAATTTGTTAGCTTTTTAATTTTTTAATGACTGTTTAACTTTTAAACTAAATTAAATGTTGCCAAATGAGACCTTAACCACATTTTAAATTGGACAAATGATGGGTATGTTTGGCTTGTATTTGAGAGATCAGTTTTAGAAAAAAAAAAATTTTAAATTGTTTGGTTTGAATTTTTCTCAAAAAATTTTCAAAATCACTTTCTCTCTCTTACACATCAATCAATCACTTTTTCTCTCTTCTCTCTCCTTCTCAATCACTTTTTCTCTCACACACATCTACTCAAATTCTTCCAAAATATCAAATCGTCCCAAACTTTCAATAAAACAACTCTCCCAAAATATACAACCAAGCAAACCAAAAAAATTTCTAAACTCTCTTCCCAATTTTTTTTTCAAAAATAACTCTTCCAAAAACAAACCAAACAAGCCCGATGTATTTGAACACATTACCTCATAGCCTCCCCGAAATATGGATATCATCTGCTCTCCAAAAAGGTTCATCAAAATGTCAACCTCCTCCTGCAAATACATCAATGATCCAACTATAGTCATTTACAAATCTGATGGGAATTTCACAACCCAAAAAAACATTTCTATGTCACAAGGGAATAAGCGAAAACAAGAAATTTAATTTATATTGGATAAAGTTCTAGTATTAAAATAGGAGAAAATACAATAAATCTGCATGTAATGGGAGTTTTTTTTTTTCTTCACCTAATCCAAAATCTATGAAATAACTCGTAATGTAGAGCAAGAATACAACAAAAAATTGGGTCAGACTTAGCAACATATCAACATGATATTGTTATTCATTGATACCATTATATATCAAGTTTGTTTCAAGCACATTCACCTGAGGGCGAACCCAGTTTTCAGTAGAAAATGCGAAAACAGAGAGAACTTTCACTCCCCATTTTTGACAGAGGGAAGCAATCTCTCTGATTTTCTGTCCACCAGCTCTGTGGGTTTCATCAACGGGCAAACCACTCTGCTGCCCCCATCTCCGGTTAAACCACAGTTTCTGTCTGTTGTCCTCTGGCGGCTGCATTTGGAGCACTCGCAACGACTGGTTTGCGAAATTTGGGAAGAGAATGGGAGATTTTTATGTTTGTTTGATTGGTTTTGGATATTAAAGAGATTGGAGGTGGAATGGGTTTGTGGAGGGAAGGAGGAGAGAGACTGGTCTTACAGGGAGAAGGAACGGGGAATCGCAGGAGCAGCATTTTGAAACGTTTGTGTTCTTTTTCCTCTGTTCTGTTGCTAGTTTTCTTTGCCACTACAATTCGAATTTAAGGCAAACAATTTTTTGGGACAATTATCAAAAAAAATCCAGAGTTTGAATAAATTTTAAAATTTTAATTTTATCAATTTAAATTTAAATTTTTTAATTTATTTTTAATCTAAATTATTTGTCTATTTTTATTAACTGAAATCGACCGGAAAAAAAACATTGTAATTATTAAACTCAATGTAGAAATATATAAAATGTCTAAAATATCATTTTATTGAGTTTAATGATTAAAATACCTATTTTTCATCAATTTTACTTAACAAAAATAGACAAATGTTTAAATTGAATATAAATTTAAAATTTAAATTGATAAAATTAAAATTTTATTTTGTTGTAAGGGTTAAACTTTAATTTTTTTTTATTAATTTTCTCCAATTTTTTTATATCAACAATGATACATCTCACTAATTTGGGAGCACTAATGGACCACTAATGAGGTGAAAATTCAAAAAAAAAAAAGAAAAAAAAACTTAAGGCCAAAACATCACATCAGTCAGTGGGACCCACTCTCTAAAGCTCCTTTAGTGCTCTCAATTTAGAGCTCCCAAATATTTTTCTTTTTATATAGACAATGTGCTGGTGATATTTTTGAAAGTATGTGTAATGATAGTGGTCGTTTTTGTTTGAAATCACATAATTTTGTATAAAAACTCTGATTGTATAACATTAATTAGGCTGTGAACTTCAAGTAAGCAACTAATTAAACTAGCATGTTATAAACAAGGTGGAGTAGTAAAATAAATTTTAAAATGTAATCCTATTAACTATTTAATCTTTTATTTTTTCTTATCGATCTAACGATTCTATTAAAGTATAAATTATTCAAAATGGTAAAATTAATTCTTTAAGGATAAAAGTGGTTTCTCCAAATGTAAAATTACATATTTAGACAATTTACACTATAGAAGTTTTGAATTTTCACTCATTCTAAAATAAATCTCACATTATCAACAAAAACTTAACACTCTAATGTAACAATCTAATAACGTAACATTTTAATGTAACACACTAAAAAAAATTTGGTGTAAAAAACTTCTTAGTGTATTTTTATCAAACGTAACACTCCAATGTAATACAAAAAAAATAAAAAATAAAAAATTTCTTAGTGTATGAAAACCAAACATAACACTCCAATTAATGTAATCCCAAACATAACATTCCAATGTAACACACACAAAAATATTAAAAAACTCTTTATTGTAATTTTTCCAAACGTAACATTCACAGTTTGAAATCATAAATTTGCCAAAACTTACTAAAGAATTTTTGTTATCCTTTTAGAATCCCATATTTTTTTAGAGTATTACATTTGAAAAAGTACACTAAGAATTTTTTTTATGTGTTACATTAGAGTATTACACTAAGGAGTTTTTTTGGAGTGTTATGTTTAAAAAAAGTACGCTAAAGAATTTTTTTTGTGTGTTATATTAGAGTGCTATACTAAGAAATTTTTTTAGAAGGCTACATTTGAGAAAAATACACTAGAGAGTTTTTTTGTGCATTACGTTGAACAGTTACACTAAGGAGTTGTTTTGAATATTATGTTTGAGAAAAGTATACTAAGATTTTTTTTTTTTTTTTTTTTTTTGGAATGTTACTTTTTTTTTTTTTTTTTTGTTGAAGAATCTCATATTTTAAATCATTTTGATACTTATTTTAAAATATTTTCCAAATAACAAATATTCTCATATAAAAATTCATCCAAAATTTGATTCTCATAAATTGTGTATCTTATCTTTCTATCACAAAAGCAAAAAAAGAGAATGAAACATAATACAAATAAGGGTATAACTGTAAATCTAATTTTCAAATAATATATTAAATCTACTTTTTCAAAATTAATGAAACTAATTGGTCTATAAAAAAAAATTTGAAACTAAATGATTAATCATTTCTTAAGATGAGATTTATATATAAATTTTTCTATAAACAATTCAAAATATTTTACAAACAAAATTTTCATATATAAAATAAAATAAAATTCTATTTGAGAAGATGTGACAATATATATATTTTGTAATTATAAATTGAAGTGAGTATTTTATTTTAGAGTGAATTACACTAATAGTTCCTATAGTTTGGCACTTGTGTCACTTTAATCCCTCACTTTTCAATTGTGATACATATGATCTTAAATTTTGAATCTCATTCCAAATAAGGACAATTGAAGACACTATTGCTCCATCTCAAGAATAAAGTCATTAATTTGATAAAATATAAATTAGTTTGACAAAAATAAATGTCAAAATTATTTTTGAATTTTTGAAAATTATTTCTACTCACCAAAGATAAAATTATGTAAAATGATAAAATTTTTACATTTTAATTTTTTTATTTGTTTCTAAATTAATTTTAGTATATGTTTGGATGATGATCATGTAATGATGGGTTATTTTTGTTGATATTTTTCATGGTTATCACGTAATAGATGGTTGTATTTGTTGTTAACAAATATTTTTAGATAATTATCATATAATGGATGGTTATTAGACTTTTAATGTGTAATCAATATGTTTAATACATGAAATATTTTTAGTTTTATATTTTTTGATTTAATGGATTGATTTAATAATGACATCAAAATTGCCGTCATGTTTGACTTTTGAAAAAATAAAAACAAATATGACGAAAATAAATATAAAAAGAAATATTTTAACGAAGAAAGTTCTAGTATTATTTATTAAAAGAAAAAATCATTACATTTCGAACAATATACGAATTAATCAACACAAAATAAGTTATATGACGACTTTGCCCTTAAAATGAAATGTTTGCAAAGGAAACATTTGTGATTGTCCTTATTTAGAATAAGATTCAAAATTCAGGATCAAATGTATCACAATAGAAAAATAAATGACCAAAATAACACAAATATCAAACTATAAGGGCTGTTATTGCAATTCACCAATTATTTTTAAATGATAAAATTGTAATGTAACATAATATTCTATTTAAAAATTCAACTCTGGTTGGTAGCTCGAAATATCAAAGGGTCAAATGGCTCGAAATTCCAAAACGACGTCGTTTTAGGCTTTTTTTGTATTCTCTTACCGGTAAGAGAATATTTTCGACCCATTCGACCCTTCACTTTTGAGCTACCAGCCATTTTCCATAAAAATTTCACTCCAATAACATTACTCATTTACAATGATATTAATTCGAGCTTGAACTTGGCCCGAAATCAAAATGACGTCGTTTCATCGTTTTGATTTTTTTTTTTTTTTGCAGAAGAAAAAAAATCAAAAAAGAAGAAAAAGAAAGGAGAGAATAGGAGGGTAGCAGAGAGAGAGAGAGAATCATCATCACCAACCACCCAACACCCAACACATCTTCATCAACATAGCAGAAAGAGGGACAAAAAAAATTCATCAACCACCCAACACATCTTCATCAACACAGCAGAGAGAGATCAGAGATCAGACTGAGACGGCGGGCTGCGACGATTGGAAGCAGAGGCGGAGGCGGCGGGCTACGATGATCAAAAGCGGAGGTGGAGGGCGGCGATTGAACCCTCTCTCTCTCTCTCTCTCCATTCCCTCTTCCCCTCTCTTCTCTTTTTCTCTTCCTCTTCCTCTTCCTCTTCCTCTTCTTCTCTCCTCTTTGCTCTCTCTGTTTCAGACTGTTGGTTTTTTGGCTTTCGAAGGTTACTTTCGTAATTATGAGCGTGCCAGCAAGGATCAATCAGTCCTTACAGAATTGTAATTGCCAAACAATTATTCAGACGATTGCGTTATGATTCTTTCGGCCTCAATAAAGAGGACTTTTAATGATGGCTTACTGGTAATTTGACTTCAGAAAACTTGAGCATAAGAACAGTTAAATAAACTGAAGTATTTCATTAGTATGAAAAACTTACAATGATCTTAGTTCCGTAGAGAATTACAGCGGCAATATACTCGAAAACTACTCCTACAAATGAAGTGCAGCGCAGGAACTTAAAGTACAGAAATATAAAGGACAGGAAATAACACTGGAATATGTAAAGTAATTCTTTAGATCTTTTCTCGCCCTCTTTCTCTGAAGTCCTTCCTGCTATTTATACTTTCCGAAGATAACCATCGAATTGTATTTCAAACCGTCGAACTGCTCCTCCGTAATCGCTGATCATGCTACCTTATAAGTAGCTCCACTACGCCTTCACTTGCAGTTAGGCTTCCCCCTTATATTCGAATTTGAATGTGAGCAACCGTTGAAGCCATGTCACTGTACGTCTCTTCGTTGATCCGCTACTACTCAGATCTTATAACTATCAATATTAATTGCCACGTGTATGATCAGGATCGAAGACCTACCTGGTCTCCCCATATTACCCTCACTTTGCCACGCGTCGAATTGTCACTGCCTTAGTACAAAATGTGTAGCCAACATTACCCCCCGCACTAATACACCCAAGACTTGGTGATATTAGTGGATCAGAGTCCCTTTTCCCACGTCTTAGAACGTGCATGGGTTTTGCATCTTCCCAAAAATGCAACTGTCGCACACCATCTGTATTAATACTCTCGTCTTGATCCTTTAAGTACTTCACTGTCTTATTATTCGAACAGACAGATACATTTCAATGACCAAATTAATTCTTTCCTCCAGTGATGAAGCATACGAAGAGTCATATGTCGATGCTATTTCTCATCGAAAGCATGCATTTATTGGCCACCTTTACCCACCTTTCTATATTCAGGTCATGGACGCCTTTGCAAATTACCGACCTTTGGATTACGAACACATTGCTCGTAATCCTTCGATTCAGAAGGCTACAAACAAAGACATAAGAATTTTCCCATCTGACCTACCTTTACAGTTCGAACAAACTGCTCTCAAACCTTTGATTCGGAAACCTCAACATGAAGGTTTTGAAGTTCTTCAAGAGAAGTGATATCGAGACCAGAAATATCATCTCCCTGAAATGAAGGAATTTTTTCTTTGGAATTATTGTTCATATAGAAAGAATTTCATAACTACTTGGGCTGACTGAGGAAACTGCAGGAATTTAGAGCTAACAGGAAAATTTGAATGTTTTGGTATAATTTTGGTAAGTTCAAAAATTGTGTACATGTACATAAATACTAAATACATTTCAAACTGAAGGTTATGTAATTGGATAAAAATGCTGAAAAAGTTGAGTAAATACATATAAAAATTCCAAATATTTTTTAACAGGAGTTCATGTCATATAATCACAAAACCTGGAAGGCACATACCTTCAATCTCAAAACCAAACTTTCTAGTTCTTTGCACCTTCTCCTTTCTCTGTGGTAATTAGCTTTTAATTCTTCAAATGTACTCTTCTCATTCATGTTTCCACATTTGTTGTCTTGTTCATATGGTTTTTTGGAAACACCATTAGATGAAGAAAATCTATTTCCAACTACTGTTTGCAAATTGTTAGAAACATGATCCCCCTGTGAAGAAATGTCCTCATAATTCATGCCAGACTTCCTCATCTCTGCAACTAGCACCCACATATTGGCCAGCTCATTTTCCAGATCTTCTTCACGACACTTTGCTTCATTAAGTCTTTTCCGCAGCTCATCTGCTATTTCATCACTCTCAGATAATGCGGTTACCAAAGAAGTTTCTTTTTGGTATCTTGTGTTAAGTTCATGCTGCAACTCCCCCACCAATACATTGTCGGGTTTTCTTGAGCATGCATCAGGTTGAGCATCATTGCCACTATTTTTCTTCACATCAAATGAAGCAGATCTTTGAAAGGAGTTAGATATACAACAAGCCTCCTTTGCAGCAGCCAGATCAGCAGTCAGTTTAGCATTTTGGTAAGTAAGTTTTGTCACTTCTTCAGCCAAGTTACGCAGCTCAACTGCTGCATCTGCAGCCAGCTCTTTTGCATAGGAAGCTTCCTCAGTCAGTTTTTCGCAGTGAATTTCAAGCTTGTCCTTTTCTTCAGTCATTTTCACCTTTTCTTGGCTCAGTGTCTCTATTTCAGCAGCCTAAGTCAAAATAATGAAAAGTATACTCATCTTTAGAAGCATAACATCACAACGATGTAGTACCACAACAATTACCAAAATGATAAGATAATGCTCAGGACAGAAACAAGTAATAGACATCCATAGCAGCGAAGGACAAGAGAGTGTGAGTGTGTAGTAGGTAAGGAGTAGGTGAAGTGGATGTGGTAGTGGTGTAGTGGGTTAGGTTTAGTGGAGTAGGTTTAAGTGGGTGAAGTAGGTGGAGAGTATGTGGATTTAGTGGGTTAGGTTTAGTGGAGTAGGTTTAAGTGGGTGAAGTAGGTGGAGAGTATGTGGATTTAGTGGGTTAGGTTTAGTGGAGTAGGTTTAAGTGGGTGAAGTAGGTGATAGGTTTTAACAGATTTCGATGCAATTGTTATGCTTTTTCAAGGATCAATAAATTTTGGAAGGTATCCTACACACTGTCAAGTTAGATCTAATCTATATATGTAGCTGTTTGTTGAGCCATCAGGATTGATTTCTGTGGTTCCACAAACCGGTTCCAGGGTTGATATTGAGGTGCTTCTCTTTCCATTGGTCATTCTATTGCATCATGTTGCTCAGTCGGTTGGGTAGAATGAACTGCTATTGTGTCAATCATGTAGCGTCTACAAAGTGGAAAATCAACTAAAAAGCTCTAAACATAGGAAGCTTGCCTTAACGCCTACACCCTTGGCCTAGTCATCATTCCCCCGGCTCTAGCTACTACATATATTGAGTTTGAACTTTGAATCATATGGTCATGAATAAATTTTTTTTAACTAATTGCAAATATTATTCTCATTCGTTTGAGGTTTATAAAGTTTGAAAATAAGTCTCCAAATGCTTGTTACAGCCCTAAAAAATTCAAGAAGTGATAATCCTAAGAATATTCATTTTGAGATTTGAAAAACTCGTGCCAATTTAAATTAAAATGATTAGAAATCCAATATTTGAAGTAGTGTGTATGAACTTGTGGTTATTTTCTTTTTTTCTTTTTTCTCCCTATGTACAAAGAACATAAAATATGTTTATTTTTTATTCTTTTTATTTTATTTTATTTTTTTGTAAAAACTACAATAAATAGCATATTTAGCACTCATTTGACATAATGGTTTGGGACTAAAATAGTCACAAAAAGACAAAATAGGTTAAAAGGTTAATAAAACAAAATTTTGCATCTAAACCATAATAATTTTATTTTTTTTTCTCACGAAAGTCAAAAAAATCAAAAAGTTCATCCCAAATGAAATTTTTTAGCCCTAGACAAAATAGTCAAAAAGTTAAAAAATCAACCCACATCCCAAATGAAATCTTAATGCTACTTTAATAAAAAAGTTAAGACTTATTTTTCAAGCCCAATGATGTAGTACTCTATTAAAATATTGATAAATTATAAATATACCTCTTGAGATTTGCTTAAAGTATAATTGCTCTCTGTGATTCTAAAAATTACATCTCGCCTCTTTAAGTTTCTAATTACATAACAAATAATTCATTTTATTAATAAAATATCAAATTAATTAATTATTTTTAATGATGTCATAAATATATTTTAATTAACAATTTAAATAATTTTATTATTATAGAGGAGAATGATTAAAATTTTCATCTTTCTGTTAATTATGTTAAATAAAAAAATTTGATAATGAGGTATTTGTAGTTTTCAAAATTAAAATGTACAATCTATATTTTAAGTAAATCTTAGGAGGTGTATTTGTAATTACCTTAGAATATTTAAGTACTCTTTTTCTAATAGTTTCTCTAATCATCAACCATTCATTTCTTTTATATTATACATTACCGGGTTTAAAAAGTGAGTTTATAAAATAGATTTGTATGTCATTTTTCAAAATGAAAACAAGTATAGTAAGTTATCAAAAGGGGGGAGTGGTCAAAGGTGATTGCCAAAGCGAAGATGGGAGGGTGAGGGTGGTAGGAAAGAATGAAACTTGTTTTGAAAATAAGTAAAATCACAATTTTCTTATTTCCAGAAATTCTAAGACTAGCCAGATTTTTTTGAAAGTGAAAACAATTAGCAAGCATGTTTTTTATTCCAATTTCAAAAAGCCTAAAGCTTAAAAAAAAAATAAAATAAATAAAAGTCTCACCATTCAAAAATTTGTGAAGTTAGCAAATGTGTTTTTTAAAAGTGAAAACAATTAACAAATGTGTTTTCTATTTCAATTTCAAAAAATCTAAAGCTAACGAAAATTTGAAAAAATTAAAAAAAAAACTCACCAAACAAACCCTAAGATTTACAATCCCAATTAAAAAATTTGTAAAATTACCGACTCTCTAGGATCAAAATTAGGAGGTCAAATAACAGGCTTCCAGACTACTAAAAAAACAAAAATGTAATACAAAAAAGGAAAAAGAATAGAGAAAAATTTGATCCCAATATAAATACAACAAATCAAGTACCAAGAGCACATGAAAATAAATAAATACATAAACATTCTAAATGTGGTGGTGATTCAATATGAATAGAGCTCTCTCCTCCCTCGCTATAGATAATTTCCTTTCCAATAGCCAAGTTTTGTGTCTCCAATTTGAACTTTTGGGATGTGTGCAATTTTCCAATTATTCTCACCCTCTAAATCTCTGTTTAGAACTGAAATCAATCCATCAGACATATCAACCAAATCAAGTGATTTAAGGTTGGTTAGATGTTCAATGCCAGAGGGTAACTCCTCTACCAATTCGCATCGCCGGATAATTAACTCTTCAAGATGAGGCATCGAGCCAGCCTCCACTTTCACCCATCTCAATCCTTTTAATTCATAAAGGGATAATCTCACAAGTCTTTGAAATCCACCAGCCTTGAAACACAATTCTTCCCCTTCATGTGTCTGAATAAATTGAAGTTGAACCAAATTGGGCAAACCTTGAAGGGATTCCAGCGGATCAACGTCCTTTAACTTACTCCATCGTAACATTACTTTTACCAAGTTGTGCAGTGAAGGTATCCAATGTGGTACCTTATGTAAACTTCCTTCTAGGTAGAGCGTTCGAAGAAGTTGAGGTGGTGAGGAAAGGGAATCTAGATCAATGATCTCGTCTTCTCCTGTTGCACGAACAATCAATGAGCGAAGGTTACTAAGCTTATCAAGGGACGAGCATAACACCCTCCCATCTTCATTTCTCAGGCTTTCAATCTGTAATTTCCTCAGTTGAGTCAACTTCCCTACCTCGCCTAGCAAAATGGTCCCATTATCATGGTTTGTTTCAATCGAGCAAAGTTTCTGTAAGCATGACAAACTTCCTATTTCCGTTGGGGCTTTGAATCCACATTGGTTTTTAAAAGGAAATACAAGAAAATAATTTGGTTGGTAGCGATACAACAAGATATGGCGAAGTCGTTGGAGCTTCAGGATATCATCAGGCAACTCAGTGACATACGTTTGTTTAAGGTCCAATGTTTCCAGGTTTTGGAGCTTGCCAATCGACTTCGGTATTATTTTTACCTTGGTTCCCCTCAAACTTAAATACCTGAGTTGAAGTAGTTTCAAAACTTCGTTTGGGAATGTCTCCAACAAGGCACCTCTCAAGTCTAGCACGGTTAGCAACCGTAGACCATCATTTGATGATGCTAGAATGGACAACTTGGACAGTGAATCTGTTGCATTGAACATAAGCAAAGAACGAAGTCGAGTGAAACGCTTGCTTTGTTGTGTATATTCCCAATAATTGTTGATCGACAAGCGCCGCACCTTTTCGGGCCACGCTCTGCTTTTTTCTCCAGTTAGTGTCACAATGTTTTGCTCTCCCGACTTGGAAACAATAATTTCACGCCAAAGGTCATGGATGCGATACATTGTGACCCTTTTATCTCTTCTCCTCTTTGCCACTTGAACCAAGCTTCTATTGATTAGCTCATTGAGGTAGCCCTCGGCAACTTCTTCTTTCGTCATTCCTACTTTCGTTTCTACAAATCCTTCTGCCACCCATAATCGAATCAATCTCCAATGGTCAATGAAACAATCCTCCGGAAAAACACTTAGATAGAGAAAGCAGAACTTCAGATAATAAGGTAAATCAATATAACTGAGGGACAATATTTTGTTCATGCTTTGTAGTTTGTCATTTCCTTGTAGTTCTGCACCAAGGCTGCGGTAGATCTTATCCCACTCATCCACACTGCTCTTATCCTTTGTTGATAAAAGACCACTAATAGCGACAATTGCAAGCGGCAATCCCTCGCATCTATTCAAGATGGCTTTTGAAAGTCTTTCCAAATGTGAAGGGCAAGAATTCTCCATAAATGTTTTCCTGCAAAACAATGTCCAGGATTCTTCACTAGGCAAGGGCTGGAGATTATAGACATCACCATGATATTCTTTACTCGCAAAAGAGGCTAAGTCTGCATTTCTGGTTGTGAGCACTACTCGACTGCCACAATTGCCAATGGGAAACACATATCTAAAAGATTGCCACGCATGAATATCCCATACATCATCGAAAACAAGCACATACCTCTTTTGTTGCAGGAAAGCATTAATTATCCCTTTCAAGCTGTTGGTATCCATGTTGTCCATCCCTTGTGGGACTAGTTGCTTGATTTCTTCAAAAAGTTGTTTGATGATGCCTTTTAGGAGCACCTCAATCTTGAAGGATTCAGAAACAGTGATCCAAACATGGCTCTGGAAATGATTCTTCACAACTGCATCATCAAAGACCTTTTTAACCAGTGTTGTTTTGCCCAATCCGCCCATTCCTGATACGGAAAACACCTTGAGTCTGGGGTCTTCATGCACCAACCACCTAATTAGTTGCGATTTGGGCTTGTCGATGCCCACAAGCTCAGATTCATGGAGTAGAAGGGCATCGCCGCGATAATCATGGCATGCTGTGTTAAGACCAGTGGACCTTGAGCTTGAGCCTTGCTCTAACATACCATAACTATCATGGTACCTCTGATGTCCCTTCGAAATATCGATGACTCTGGACTTCATTCTTTGAACTTCAGAAGCAATTTGGTGACGAGCTTTTAAAGTCT